GTGGATAATCTACTCTTTTATCAGAGAGGATTATTTACTTACCATTAGACTATTCCCCCCTCTTCTTTATTAAATAGCTCATGACAGTTTAAATAATTATTCATTATTAAATACTTTAGCATGTTATCAGGAGAAAGCAATCCTTGAGAAAAGGCATCATCCTGAGACAGGCAGAAGGTCACAGATACAGAGGAAGACACTCAACAAGATGGACTGACATACTGACTACTACCAAAGGCTTTCATTTAGCTTTCTGGACACGGGGACAGGGCAGGATAGGGCAGGATTACCATCTGTTGTGGTCACTATGAGTCATCGTTAACTGTACAGCACCTTACAGCAACTCTGAAGGTTAGATATACCGTCTTTCACAGACAAAAAAAAAAATTAAAAAGGCATGAGAAATTAACTAATCATAGATTGTTGTTGTTATGTGTCGTCAAGTCGCTTGCGACTCATAGCGACCCTATGTAAAACAGCCCTAAACACTGCTCTATCCTGTGCCAATCGCACTGCCTCTGACACCCTCATCCTGATTATCCCAGTCACTGAATCAATCCACCTCATAGAGGGCCTTCCTCTCCTGCGCTGTCCCTCCACCCTCCCCCCTCCCAAGCATGATGTCCCTCTCCAAGGACCTGTCCCTCCTTACAACATGCCCAAAGTATGTCAGACGAAGACCCAGAATCCTTGCCTCCAGGGAGCAGCCTGCTTTAACCCTCTCCAGGATTAATCTGTATGTTTTCCTAGCAGTCCATGGTACATTCAATACTCTTCTCCAGCACCACAGCTCAAAGGCATCAATTCTCCTTCTATCCTTCCTAGTCATTGTCCAACTCTCTGATGCTTAACAACAAGTGATTGCAAAGACCATGGCCTGGATCAGACGCATCTTAGTCTCCAGAGTAACATCATATGAAATGATAAATAGCATCTTCCATTTTAGGACAATGACCTTCAAAATACTGGCATCAGTCACTGCTTATACACGCACACATTTATAGGTAATATTGAATCAATCAAATGCATATTGACCTATAAATATGGTAGAAATTAAAACTTTTTTAGAGATGATAACAACCTAATAGTTGTCAGTCCTAGATAATCTTCCCCCCCCCCCCACCTTTTATAGTGAGCTGGTAATTATTTGATAATCTGATTTTTTTTTCCAGAAAATAAAAAATTGCAAGCAGATAAAGGAGGCCTCTTGTGGTTTCTCACGCATTTCTTTGAGTCTTTAAAAGTCAGTGCTCCTTTTACATGAATATAATATACAGACACTACAGGAAATTTAGGGAATAATGACATCTAAAAGAAAAAATTATAATAGTTCAAAAATGGCTATTTTTTAAAAATCTCTTTTCCCTCTTTATTTTTTGCTGTGTACTATCAAATTGGATCCAACTGGCAAAGGAGGAGATTGCCCCTCCTTTTCCAGCAGAGCATTTGGTGGATTTGAACCACGTGCCTTCAGGATTACAGCACAGCTTCTTGCCATCAGGCCACCAGAACATCTTAAAGATAGCTTTTCTTAAGAGCATAATATATATTTATTTTTTCAGATACACACACAAATGTGTATAAAATATTTTTTACAATCATATTTGGTGATTGAATAGTACGTAAATATAGATATGTTAACTGCTTCCACTTGAATGAGATGTCTCTTCCTTTAGTTCCTTGTGGAACACTCCTGCCTTTTCTTTTTCTTTTTTTTAAAAATTTTACACTAGCTTACTTACAAAATTCAAATACATTGTTTTGGAGAACAGATTCTTTCAATTTCCCACACCCCCGCCCCTGTCAAATTTTCCAACTCACTTTGTAATGGACTTCTTGTTCCAACTCCTGCCCTTTTTAAAAATTGTAATTGTTGTCACTCTTGAGTAGGCTCTGACTAATGTGTAACGGAATAATGTTGCCCAGTACTGGCCTATTCATAGTCACTGCTTTGTCCATAGTTGTGAGAGTCAATGCACTGACTGTGTCATTTCCTTGTTACTGCTGACTTCTACCTTACCAACCACAATATCCTTTTCTAGCCTTTCCCAATCAAATGGCCAAAGTAAACGAGGTGAAGTCTCACTATTCTCATTTGCAAAGGGAATTCTTGTATTTCTTCTAAGATTTGTTTGTTTTTCTGGGAGTCACGGCATAATCAATATTCCTCACATATATATCACATCATGAATGTAGCCACTCTTCTTTTTTCTTTTATAATGCCTACCTTATGTGCACATAAGAAATGCTCAGGGATATTATGAGTTGGGTCAAGCACACCTTAGTCATAAAAGTGATATCCTTGTTTTTTCAAAGTGGTATGTTATAGCAGGTTTGTCTACGACCATACATTACTTGATTTCTGAACCTCTGTTTCTATGGGCATTGATTACTAAAGGAGTTAGACATTTTTAATAAGGCTGATCTTTTGAAATAGCTTCTTATCAAATCATGCTGAACCTTTAGGTGTTTTGTTTTGTTTTTTGGGTTTTCGGTGGGTTTTTTGTTGTTTTTGTTGTTGTGTACCATTGGATTGGCTCCTACTGGCACAGGAGGAGATGGGGCCCGTCCTTCTCCAGCAGAACATCTGTTGGATCTGAACCACAAGCCTTTGGGATTTCAGTGCAACTTCTTGCCACTAGGCCAGCAGAACTCCCTTGAACCTTTAGGTTTCTAATAAATTTCACTACCATAAATAATACTGCATGAGTATCTCTGGCAAAAAAAAATCTAGAAATAATGGAAAAATTCCATGGAAAAATTTCATATTTCTAATGGGGAAAGTTCCATTAGAAATAATGGAACAATTCCTTCTATTTTCTTAGGATAGATTCTGGGAAGTGGAATTGCCAGATGAAATAGTATTTACAGTAAAGTGGTTTTTATATTGGTTGCCCATTAGCTTTCCCAATTTTGTGGCCACTCTCACTTCCATTAACCCTGAGTGTTTTGCTAATTTCCTGACAGCTTCAATCTTTGCCAATTGGTTGTAGTCATCCTTCCATGCTCCTCAAACTTTTGGAGTTTTACTTAAAAATACCATATATAAAATATGGAGGGTCCACTAATCAAGCACAAATACACTCAAGGCCATGATTCTGATTGAACCCTGAAGGGAGATCAGAGCTGAGAATAACCAGAGGAATTGGGGAAAATCTTGAGCCCTACAACTAGGGACATTTCTGAGAGTTAGAAAATCAGCCCCATTTATTTTTCACATTAAGAACAGTAAATAAGGGAGTAATAAACTTTTAGGATAATAATGTGATATTAAGAGTTGGTAGGAATACACCTTAAGTTTTCTCTCCTGTCTTTAAAATTTACTCACTTAAGACAATTATATTTATACTAGAAAGAGTCTACCATCAGATAGGAAAAGTGGATTAAGTCCACTATTTCAGAGAAATTACCTTTCAAGATAAAGAAAACCAAGAGGGTGATGGAGTACATAAATTTTATTTTCAAATATGCTATGGACTACTCTGTTACAAGAAGGATGGCATTTAATTTTGTCATTCTAGAGACAAATCAGATCAATTAGAGGGAATGTTGTTGTTATGAGCCATCAAGTTGAGTATGACTCATAGCGATCCTATGAACAAAAGATCTGAACCCTGTTCTATCCCGTGCCATTCTCACACTTCTTGAAACACAAGAGCCCAGTGCAGCAGCCACCGTGTCAATCCAGCTGTTTGAAGATCTTCCTCTCCTTCACCAACCTGTCACCCTTCCCAGCATCATGTCCCTCCTCCAAGGAATAGCCCTTCCTACCAACATGCCTGAAGTATGTGAAGTGAATTCTCATCATTCTTGCCTGAAAAGGACACTCCAACTGCACCCTCTCCAAGATATATCTGTTTATTCTCTTGGCTGTCTATGGCGTGTTCAGGGCTCTTCAACACCATAGCTCAAAGGAGTCAACTGAAGGAAATAGGGGTGGGTATTCCAACTTACTTTCACAAATGGGTGTCTCCTTATCCCAAACGACATCATTGCCTGAGACGAGGCAAGCAGCAGATGAAGAACCAATGAGTCGAAATCTAAGAACAAAGAATGGAAAAATTATGATACTTTACACATAAACTACCCACTGGTCCATATGGGAATACCTGATGCCTGTCTTCCACAAACATTACAACCTACAAGAACCTGTGGGACAGCTCTATTCTGTTACCTGGGATTTCTAGGAGTCAATAAAATTGACTCTGTAAAACAGACAACAAAATCATCACTACATATTTCCCACCAAGGCATTGCTTAGCAAATAATGACAGGTAGACATAACAAGACCAATTAGGACACAGGAGAATTTGGGAAGGAGATAGCCATCTCTATATGCAAATGAAGCCTTTATATCTAAGGACAAGTTTAGATTCTCAGTTATTTTTTAAAAACATTTTAACTTTTTTTAATTGTGATATGAATAACAGTTTACAAAGAAATTGGTTTTTCATTCACTCGTTCATGTGTATCCCCTCCTATCCAATCCATAATATACGTCCTGTTCCAGATTGGTAGCTGTAATATACATTGTGTCTGATCATCCATTCATTTCAGATTGACCTTCCCTTCCCTTATCTTATTAGTGTTCATTATTTGTCCATTCTTTTCCTCCTTTCTCCTTCACTGTCCCTTTTCCTTTAAACACTTTAAAAAATATCATTTGATCCAGCAATTCCACTACTGGGAATATGTCTTAAAAGAATCAGAGCAGCAACAAAACCAGATAGATACACACCTGTGTTTATTGCAGCATTATTCACAATAGCAAAGAGGTGGAAACAGCTTAAGTATACACCAACAAACAAATGGACAGAGAAATTGTGGTACATTCACACAATGTATTAAAAAATACATTAAAAACACAGTATTAAATACATAAAAACACAGTATTAAATACATTAAAAACACAGTATTAAAAAACACAGGAAAAACAACCAGGGCCTCATGAAACACTGAACACGGGTGAGTCTAGAGGATATTATGCTGAGTGAAAAAAATCACAAAAGGGACAAATCACTGTTAAAGTTCTTAACTCTTAATTCAAAATTTTAGCTCTTCACAAGTAAATGGGCTATTTCCCTTATTATCATGGGGTGTTTTTGTACTTGTCATTAGAGTATCTCACAGTCCTTTTGTCCATGTGTGCTTTCCATTCAGGAAATGATAACTAGTATTGAAATATCTAACACTTTGTAACATCTTCCTTAAAGGATTTGGACCAGCAGTATTCAAGAAGGATTTGCTGAGTAAATGAAGGAGGAGTGACTTTACTCTGAAAATTCTATAAACAAGAGCCAGTGGCAACCCAATCAGGCTTGAAATTGTTAGCGTGTTCACACATTAAGAGTGCAAGGCAGGGGTTATTATTATCCACTGTGCTTAAACCATCCAGATCAAGACACAGAATCGGGAACATTCTACAATAACTTACTTTTTATTGTCTGTGTTGTCCATGTGAGACTTGCTCAGATATTTACTGGACTGTAATTTTTCTTTTAGAAATTATTTGCCCATAAACTTTAATCTTTATTTTTTTATTGCTGTGGAAGAGCTACCTATGGAGTTTTCGTTGTTTGTTGTCTGTCTTCAATAACTTTTATACAGAGAAATATTTTGATGCTTTGCTGCACACCATAAACCTACGTGCCTATATTAATCCAATTATATTATGTATTATTAACATTTAAAATTTTTAGTCTAGGTGTATTTTGCTTTGGTGTTTGATATGAAGAAGGGGATCAAATTTATTTTACTTTTTTAAATACTTCTAATTGATTTTCATATAATAATACCTTTATAGTAGTTTCATTAATATACATTATTTATACACTTTCATTTATATTATATTTCATACAATCATTCATATAGATTCTATTTTACTTAATTTTTATACTAGTTTAAAATTCAACTACACTGTGTTTCACACCAGATCCTTCCCATTTCCCTCACTCCCCATCCATCAAATTGTGCAGCCCCATGATTAATCCTCCCCCTCTGCACATTCTCACCCCTCTGCTTTCACCCTCCCCTCCCTTGAATCCTCATACTCATTCTATAATAATGGTTTTATACAGTATTTGTCCTTATGGGACTGAGTTAGTTCACTCAGCATAATGCTCTCCAGTCCTTCCCAAGTTAAGCAATAATTTACAAAATCATTGCTCCTGCGTGCTGCATAGTATTCCATTTTCAATCCATTTAATTGTGTTCAGATATTTGGGCTGTTTCCATATTCTTGCAATGGTGAATAGCACTACTATGAGCATTGGTGTACAAGTGTCTATTTGTGCCTCAGTTCTCATTTTCTTGGGGTATATTCCAAGCAATGGAAAAGCTGGGTCATATGTTCAGCTTTTAGAGGAAGCGCTAAACTGCCTTCCATAATTTATTTTTAATATAGGTGCCTTACTAATGAATACTTTCTATTTTCCAGGCCCTGGAAGGCCATCTTTATCCCTCCTAAATTCTTACCAGAAATATATCTATCTTGTGAATTCTGTATTTTTTCTTTTGACTCTTCATCTTTACTCTTATCCTGTATTATTTTCTTTTTAAAATATATTGGGCATTAATTATGCTTTATAATATATACTCTGACAATCACATTTCCTCTTTATATTATTCCAGGAAATTTTACTTCTGAGTCTCATGGCATAAGTTTGTAAAATTAAAAAAGAATCCCTTTGGAAATCTAGAAATTAATTCAAAGATAATGAACATGTTTATAATATTAAATCCTCTTTTAAATAGAAAGTCTTATCTTCCGTTTCCCCAAGCACTTTATGTCTCCCAAGAAAGACTTTATAATATTTTTTATTAACTTCGTTAAACTGTGTCTAGTTGATTTTGTTGGGATTGTTGTTATTGTTAGGTTCTATCAAGTGGAGTACAACTCATAGCAACACTATGAACAATAGATCTGAGCCCTGTCCTATCTTGTACGATCCTCACACTTCCTAACACATTAGGGCCTGTTGCAGCAGTCATCGAGCCAACCTGGTCGAGAGTGTTCTTCTCCTTCACCAACTCTCTACCTTTCTGAACATCATGTCCGTTTTCAATGAGTCGCCCCTCCTAGCAACATGCCTGAAGCATGTGAGGTAAAGCCTAATCATCTTTGCCTCCAAAGAGCACTCTGGCTGCACCCTCTCCAAAACATATCTATTTGTCCATTTGGCTGTATATGGAATGTTCACTGCTCTCCTCCAACGCCACAGTTCAAAGGTTATCAATTCTTCCTTTGTCATCCTTATTCATTGTCCAGCTCTCAGATGCATAGCAAGTGATCAGAAATTCCAAGGCCTGAATCAGACGCACTTTGGTTCTCAAACTGACATTACTCAACAATAATTTGGAAAAGCCACTAAGTGCAGCCTTTTTCCAGTGTAATATGGCTGCTAGTACCAAGAGTGTTACTTGTCGATCTAAGTAAGAGGAAGCTGTTGACAGTTTCAATCTTTTCTCCATCTATCATGATGTTGTCTATCGGTCCAGTGGTAAAAATCTTTGTTTTCTTGACATTGAGATGCAATCCATATTGAAGGCTGTATGCTTTGATCTTATGCAACAAATGCTTCAAGTCCTCCTCACTTTCAGCAAGGAAGGTTGTTTCATCTGCATTATACAGGTTATTGATGAGTCTCTGTAAACTCCTAATGCCATATTTCTCTTCAGAGAGTCCATCTTCTTTTTTTATTTTATTTTATTTTTGTGTGAGTGTACCATCAAATCAGATCTGATTGGTACAGGAGGAGATTGTCCCTCCTTTTCCCGGCAGAGCATCTGGTGGATTTGAACCGTGTGCCTCTGGGATTGAGAGTCCATCTTCTTGAATAATTTGCTCAGCATACAGATTAAATAGGTTTGGAGAGGAAATACAACTCTGATGCACTCCCTTCTTAATTTTAAACCACACAATGTTCCCTTGTTCTGTTCACACAACAGCCTCCAGGTCTTGGTATAGGTTTTGCATAAGCACAATTAGCTCTGGAATTCCCATTCTTCTCAATATTAGCGATAACTTGTTATGATCCACGCAGTCAAATGCCTTTTCATAGTAAAGCATAAATAGACATTCTCCTGGTATTCTTTACTTTCAGCCATGATCCATCATACATCAGCAGTGATAATCCTGGATCCGTGGCCTCTTCTAAATCCTCCTTGAACTTCTGGAAGTTCCCATTTCTATGTACTCTTCTAGGCATTTTTGAATGATCTTCAGCAGTATTTTGCTTGATGTGATATTAATGATATGTTTGATAGTTTCTACATTCTATTGGGTCTTCTTTCTTAGGAATGGGAACAATCCATTGGCCAGGGAACTGTCTTCCAAATTTCCTGGCATAGACTGGTGAGCACATCCAGGCCTGCATTTGTTAACTGAAACAAGGAGGGAAACAAAGCTAAAACAAAGGGAAAACATGCTGAAGTAAAAGAGCTGAACAGAAGATTTCAAAGGGCAGCTCAGGAGGACAAAGCAAAGTATTATAACGGAATGAACAGAGAGCTGGAATTGGAGAATAAAAAGGGAAATGCTTTGCCTTTCTCAAGCTGAGAGAACTGAAAATCAAATTTAGGTCTCAAGTCGAAATATTGACAGATGCAATGCTATGGGCAATATACTGAATGACTCAGAAAGCATCAAAAGAAAATAGAAGGAATACACAGAATCGCTGTACTAAAAAGAACTGACTAACACTGAAAAATTTCAGGAAGTATAGGAGCATGAGCCAGTGGTAATGAAGAAGGAAGTAGAAGCTGCACTGAAGGCACTGGCGAAAAATAAGGCCCCGGGAATTGACAGGATACCAATTGTTCAGATGGTGAATTATCTTTCTCCATAATATTCTACTTGGTTGTTATTTACAGAAGGAAAATAATTAACTTATGAAATTTTTTGCAGCATAGTATTCCCCATTAATTCTGAAAGCTTTTCAGCTAATTCTTTTAGATTTTCAGGTTAACAGTGATCTGTTAAGCGTAGCTTTCCTGTCTGTCTATTTCTGTGTATATCGCTACACATCTGTATGTAAGTATG